TTCTTTTATTTCAAAACCTGTTTCCTTTGCTTTGGTTTCTTGGTACTCTAGTTCAATTTTCAGAGTCTTCTGACATCCATTTTGGTTCTTTCTTTCTCCTATGTTTGTTTTGTTAGTGACCTTTTGCTCTCTTCATGGATGATATCCTTGATGTCATTTCACAACTTATTTTGTCTTTGATCACTGGTGTTCAATGCTTCATATCTACTCTTGAGATGATTTTTAAATTCTAGTAGGATAGACTGTAGATCATATTTTAGTTCTCATGGTCTTGTTTCCATTTTCTTCAGTTTTAGTTTGAAGTTGCACTTGAGTAATTGATGTTCCACTCCACAGTCAGCAAACACCAGTCCTGGTGTTGACTGCTGGTATTGAGCTTCTCCAAAGATTCTGTCCACAGATGTAGTCAATCTGATTTCTATGCAGTCCATCTGGCAAGGTCCAAGTATAAAGTCATCATCTGCATTTTTCTTCCAGAATCCAACTTTGACTGTGTAGGTCACAACAAATTGTCGCTAACCTTGAGAAGAAAGAAAATTCTAGGCCACTTGATTGTGCTTATGTGAAACCTAGACCTAGATCAGGAAGCTATTGTATGAACAAGCAAGGAAACACTGCATAGTTCAAAAGCCACAAAGGGGTGCCTCAGGGCACCTTTTCTTCATACTTTTTAAATTTATGTGCAGAAGTGTTTATTCAGAACTTTATGATGAAGAATGTGGCATCATAATTGGAAAACGACTCATCAACATCCTTGGACAGGACACAACCATGGTCACTGAAACTTGAAGCATTTGCTGCTAAAGGTCAAGGACTGTAGTGTTCACTATGGGTTGAAGCTCAACATGAAGAAAACAAAGATTCTTACCACTGGGCCAATGGAAAAAACCATGATAGATGGTGAAAATAAATTGAGAATGTTAACAATTGCAGCTTGCTTGGCTCCACAATCAATGCTCTTAACACCAGAGGTTAGAAGATCAAAAGATGAATTGCATTGGGGAAGTCTGCTGTCAGAAACCTCAGTCTAGAGCCTTAGATGTGCCTAATTCAGGTCATAGTCTTCTCAGTTGCTTGCTATGCATCTGAGAGTTGCACAAAGAGTAAAGATTACAGAGGAAGAATCTATGCCTTTGTGTTGTGGTGTTAGAGAAGAGTATTGAACATACCATTGATTGCCAAGAGAACAAACAAATCTGTCCTGGAAAAGGTGAAACCAGGTTGCTCCTTGTAGGTAGAGATTTTGAAACTCTGTATCATATACTTAGTACATGTTTCCAGGAGAGACCAGTACTTGTAGAAGTGCATCATGTTTGGAAGGGTAGAGTGCTAGCACATGACAGGGAGATCCTGAGTGAGACAGATTGACATAATGACTGTGGCAATGGAGTCAGATGTGATAAAGATTATGAGGTTGGCTCAGGATAGGGTAAGCTTAAGAGTAATTTTTCATGTGGTTGCTATGAGTTGTATCAACTAGATGGCACATAACAATAAAAACAACTCGGTGATCCAGTGCATACAGTGTTCATGTGTTAACCAAAATATCAATGGTTCAAATCAAACTGACGTTCTGTGTGAGAGAAAAAAATCCACACCAAACAAACTGGTAATCTGTTTCTTTAAAGGTTATAATCTAAGAAATCTTCTGGAATAGTTCTACTCTGTCATTTATAGTCTTTATGAGTCAGATACATCTTTGTTGGAAATGAAGAGGACTTGAAACAGTTACTGTAGAGATCAACATCTCTGGATTGCATCTCAACCGCAAGAAGACAAATTTCCACACCACTGGACCAATAAGCAACATGATAGATGGAGAAAAGGTTGAAATTTTTAACAATTTCTTCTTATTTGAATGCATAATCAACTTCCTTGGTACCAACAGTCAGGAGCTCAGGACATGTATTACATGTGGCAAATCTGCTGTTAGAGACATCTCCAAAGGTCCCTGACAAGCAATGGTATCAGTTTGAAGACTAAGGTATGCCTGATTCAGGTCTTTTCAGTTATTTGCTATACATCTGAGAGCTGAACAAAAAAAAAAATAAGGATGACAGAAGAAGAATTGATGCGTTTGAGTTGTTGTGTTAGAGAAGAGTACTGATTATCCCATGGACTGTCAAAAGAACAGATATGTCTCAGAAAAAGTGCAGCCAAAATGTTGTGAAGTCAAGGATGGTGAAGCTTCATCTCATGCTTTGGGCAAGTTGCTAGGAGAAGCTGTTTATCATGCATAGAAAGATGTAAATGTCACTGAAAAAGAGGATGACACTCAATGAGAGTAAATAACACAGTGACCTTGGCAATGGACTTAAGTATGTCGTAGATGACAAAGATGGCACAGGATAGGACAAGGTTCAGATCTGTTGTTCATAGAGTTGCTATGAGTCATACTTGACTCGACAGTACCTACCAATGAGTCAGACACAACAACCCTATTTGAAGAGTTAATAGTCTGCTGCTAAATTTGTTTCTCCCCTTTGTTTTATTTTTATGTATAGATATATACACATACATGGAGTTTAGTAGGGAAGTAAACAGTCATAATTAAGGTTGAAGGAGTCACAATTCAACTCTTGAGACAATTTCTCAGGAATGCTCATAGCCCCTTTGACCTCCAGCCTCACTGGACCTGACCCCTTGTCTGAGTCAGTGTTACAAAGCTCTTTTAGTGCTGACAATTACAGTAGCTACCCCGACCCCTTCCAACAGATAGCCTAGGCAATGGCTCCCAGCTCTGGTTCTATGGGACAAGAGTCCTAGGCTGTTTCTTGCAGGAATCTCTGGCTCTAAAGGACACACTGCTAAATCTTTTCACGAGAACTCTCTTAATTTAGTGATAAAAAGTTGTGCTGCCAGCCCAAAGGCATATGGTTCAAATACACCAGCTCCATGGGAGAAAGATGGGCAACCTCATTTTGTGTGATATACTGCCTCTGAAAACCCTCTGGAAGGTCAGTATGGGTCAGTTCTGACTTGATGGTACATAACAAAAACAAATTACAAATCTTTTTAAGAATTACCTGAGTTACCATTGGTTAATTAAGAATTCACTTTACAGTTTTCCCTACTAGGAAAAAGTAATTTATGTGTAAAGTAAATATACACAGAGACAGTATGCGTGACAAAAGTCATACACAGTCAGTGATGATATGATCATAGAGGGTAACATGACCGCTAGAATGAAAATTCTGGGAAGATAACTCCTCGGAGGCAGAGATGACAAAGCTTCATCTCATAAACTTTGGGCATATTGTTGAAATGGCGTCATATTTGGAAATGTGGAGGGTCAGTGAATAGGAAGGAAGATCCTTACTGATATGGATTGACACAGTGACTACAGCAATGGGTTTCAAGTATGTCAGAAATTATAAGAATGGCACAGCATAGAAGAGGGTTCAGATCTGTTTCTCATAGGTCCAGTATGAGTCACACTTAACTCAGTGGCACCTCACAACAACAACAACAACAACAACAACATATATGAACTCTTTGGTTCTGTGCTATCCTCACATTCACCTGTGCTTGAGTTCATTGTTGCAATCATCATATTAATCTATCTTATTAACAGTCTTTCATATATTTTTAAGACTAAGTTTAATTCTTAATTGCTATTTTTGTTAAACAAAAGCACAATCCTATATTGATCTTTGTCATAAATTTGTTTTACAAAAGTTTTGATTATATGTTGTTGTTATGTGCCGTCAAGTCACCTACAACTTATAACGACCCTATGTACAATAGCTCTGAATCCTGCCCTGTTTTGAGCCAGTTTCACTCAGACACACCTATCCTCATTATGCCAGTTACCATGTCAATCCATCTCATCCCGGGTCTTCCCCTCCTACACTGTCCCTCCACCTTTCCGAGCATGAAGTCCTTCTCCAAGGACTGATCCCTGCCTTTGCCCAAAGTATGTGCAACATAGCTTCAAAATCTTAGCCTAAAGAGAAACTTGGTTTCACTCTCACCAAGACAGTCCATGGTATGTTAAAGACTCTTCTCCAGAACCACAACTCAAAGGCAAATGAGAACACCTATTTTGAGATCCATATATCTATCTTTCTAAAGTCCTGAAGAGCAACGATGTCAGTCTGGAGACTAAGGTGTGCCTGATACAGGCCATGGTCTTTACAATCACTTGCTGTGCATCAGAGAGCTGGACAATGACCAGGGATGATAGAAGGAGAATTGATGCCTTTGAGCTGTGGTGTTGGAGAAGAGTGTTGAATATACCATGGACTACTAAAAGGACAAACAGGTTCATTCTGGAGAGGGTGAAGCTGGGCTGCTCCTTGGAGGCAAGAATTCTGAAGCTTTGTCTGACATACTTAGGACATGTTGCAAAGTGGGACCAGTCCTTGGAGAGGGATGTCATACTTGGGAGGGTAGAGGGACAGCACAGGAGAGGAAGACCCTCTATGAGATGGATTGATTCAGTGACTGGAGTAATGGGGGTAGGTGTGTCTGAGAGAATTAGATTGGCATGGGATAAAGCAGGGTTTAGAGCTGCTGTACATAGGGTCGCTATGAGTGGCAGGCGACTCGATGGCACATAACAACAACAACAATTCTATCTCAAGCACTTAGATACTATCTTTATCTATTTTTTCCTAATCTTGACAGCATTATTTTAAAGTTTGAGTCCCAGTAAAATTGAGAATCTTTCTGGCTGTATTTAATTTTTGCTTATGTAACTATTTTATAGTTCTTTTTCTTTCACATTTTTTATGTTTTGAGAAGATTCCCTCTTCCTGTGTTTGATTAGGCATTGTACGTAGTGTGGACTTTCTTTTAATGAAATAGATTCCCCCCCCCAATGAAGCACAGAAGCAATAATTTCCTTGTTAATAATTAGCTAAATATTTTGCACTGTGATTAAATAAAAACCAAAGCTGCAGTGGAACTGTTATTTTCTTTCTAACAGTGTCAATGCATAGCATAAAAATTTTATTTTCTCTAACACTCTGCTCTTTTTGAATTTTATTTCAGTGACAATGAAACAGTTAAAATGTACAGATTTTGTTATTTTCTTGTTTTTTTTGTCTGAATTTCTAACGCCACCCTCAAAGGCTCAAGATGTAGGTAAGATATTTTCTTGTATGGTAGCTAAAGAATGACTAAAATTGGGATGGTTTCTATCTTTAACCTTGGGGTTTCCTCCCCCCATTTAATTTTTACTTGCTTTTCCTCCCTATACCTAGTTTCTATATATTTGTCAGATATTCCGAAATAATCTTCTTAAAATTTTTATTATGGTGGTCGTATTACCCTCTGTGACCATATTAACAAATGACTAACGTATGTATTGTAGTAACAGTAAATATATAGTTAAATTTTAATTTTTCTTGTAATTTTGTGTATTAATTGTAAATCCCACTGGATAGAGAGGATCTGAGTACATGTAGAATTTCTTTCCTCCTTCAACTTGTAGTTGCTTTGTAGAAAAACATCTCCTACAAGCCTGGAAGAAGGGATGACTTAATTTTCTTATGAGAAATATTATAGTTCTTCTACGTGAAAAGATACTTGGAATTTTACCAGTCTTGAGAATATGGATTTTTGGAACTAGTCTGGCTTGAAAGGACACTTTTTGTCTGTTGAACAAAGGTTCTGCAAGCATCACAGTTGCAGTGAAGATGGCAATTTCATCTTACTCAACTTGGCGTCTCTGTAAGTGCCTGTTAGTGGGACGAGCCACAGGGCTTGTAGAAAAATAGATCTCATTGAGTTAATCATCTTTGCATCCTACAACTTGTTGCAAAATGGTGTTAATTTTGTTTCTTTAGTATCTTTAGGATGTCTTCATTTTTTCATATAAATAGGTCTTTCCCGGAGAGGGTGAAACCAGGCTGCTTCTTTGAGGCAAGGATTTTGAAGTATCGTCTCACATACTTTGGGCATATGGGACATTTCAGAGGGACGTCATGCTTGGGAAGGTGAAGGGACAGTTCAGGAGACGAATATCCTAGATTGACTCAGTGACTGGAGTAATGGAGGCAGATGTGTCAGAGACAATGAAATTGGCTCAAGATAGAGAAAAGTTCAGTGCTCTGTTGTACGTAGATAGAGTCACTATTAGTTGCAAATGACTCAAGTGCACATGACAACAACCACCACAATCCTTGTTGCAATTCAGATTTTCTTGATCTCACAGCAGATGGATTGCAAAAGATTTTTTTCATTATTTTCTACTTAATATCTATGGATATTTTCTATCCATTTATAAGACAAATAGTTATCAGGACTTTCTATTATTTGTCAGGTACCGTAGGGTGACAATGGAATATTAGCTATATCAGTACTTGGTTTCTGTTTTTGTAGGTAGGAATGGCCATATTACTACCCTACATAAACATTTTCAATGACTTTGCACAGCTTTTAATTGGAGCCCAACTTCCTTAACTTTATACTCAGTGCCAAGAATCTTTTTTTTTTTAATACTTCTTGTAATGTTTTTGTTGTTACGTGCCGTGGAATCGACTATGACTCATAGCAATTATAATAACAATGGTTCTGAAGCTTGCTTGCCCTTTATGGAGCCAACCTCACCATCTCTGACACCCTAACCCCATTGTCACAGTCACTGAGTTAATCCATGCCATCCATGGTCTTCCACTCTTTGTTGACCCTCCACCATTCCAAGCATGATTTCCTTCTCCATGGATTGGCCCCTTCCATTATTTCTCTTTATGATCTACTTACTCATCAAAATGAACTGTCTTTCCCCAAACAGAGAGAAAGATTTTTTTTTTGTATTTTGTATTTTTTTTTTTACTAAACACCTTTATTTATTTATTTATTTTTTGTATTTTGAACTTTTTCTGTATCTTTTGCCTTTTTTTGTCATCATTGTGATTTAAGTGGACGTTTACAAAGCATTTTGGGGATTTTCCCCTAATCAATAATTTATGCATATTTTGTTCCACAACATAAGTAATTGCATATTGTTTTTCCGTTCAGTTATCTTAATAAGTTTCCATTGTCTTAATGAAATTTTTACTCACCTCTTCCCTTCCCTGATAAAAATCTGCATGTAAAAAAATCTTTCTCTAACTTTTTATAGCAGTGGTCTTATACAGTATTTGTCATTGGTAACTGACTATATTATTTTGGAAAAATAATTTGCTTCATTCTTGGTCACAATATGCACAATCAACAATTTCCATGAGGGAGTCCAACGACATTGGTTAGAGTTCACAGTGTTACCGTTCTCTTTATCCCAACCCTTGTTTTTCTCTCACCATTGATTTAGTCTTATTGTCCTTTAAAGTTTTCATTTGTGTGTCATATTGACTGTTGACAGTTTGTACTCCTACAAATAACTCTTTATAAGAGGGCAATGCTCAAGGCAAACATTCTTTATTCATTTGACTGAGCAAAGTGTTTAGGTTAATCATGAGAGATACTTCTGGTTCAAGTTTTAAAGACAATTTCTGAACATGAGATTCAAAGATTCCCCCAGTGTTAATGGTACCAATATCTGGTAAGTCTGGTTCATGTATGAATTTTAAGTTCTCTTCCATTCACTCCCTCTCAGAATCCATCTATTGAGATGTTGGATTGAATGTTCAGCTGTGGTGGCTGTGCACTATCAATTTCCTCTGGACACTTCTGCATATATTTTTCTTCATTGTACTAATTTCCACACAGAAAGATCTGTTTTCTTTCCTGCTAGCTGCAATCTTATAATACATTCTTTCAGAATAAATTCAAATACCATTTCTACTACTTCTTTTTCCCCCCTTAGTCACTCACTTAGAAATCATAAAGCATCCCTGGCTTGTACTTTTGAGATCTTGTCAAATCAACTCCGATTCAAGGTTACCCTATGTATGTCAGAGAAGGATTATGTTTCACAGGTTCAATGGCTATTTTTTTTTTAATGTATCTTATCACCAGACTTATCCAAAGTTCCCTGGGTGAACTCAAACTTCTGATCTTTCTATTTGCAGCTGAGTTACTTTCAAACAGTTTTTATCATCCAGGTGCAGCATTCTATAATTAATCTCATTGGGATTGTTTTACAGTCATCTACTACTTGTGTATTTAAGAAGTTGAGATCCAGGATGGATGAACTCTTTAACTCCTTTGCCTCATAGTCTCCTTAATGATACTTTGCAAAAACAATTGACTCCACAGATGTAGTTTGTATGAGTAAATGTGAATCACTCTGACTAGTAATGCCCACTGGGAGAAAATCAACTGGTTTAGGCTAGTCCAGAGATCACTCAGTCTCTGTGTCTGGCTAGTACTGTAAACTACTGGAGGTCCTGTCAAATCATTTCACTATGTATCTGTGACTCTTTGTTATTTCTCTACTGATAAATTATTAAGTATAGGCCTCAACAAGGTGGATATCTGTGATTTTTGTGATGGAAGTAATAAAGAAAAATAGAAAATGTGATCAAGTTTTTATCATCAACTTTATTTTTGTTATACTTAGTTGACATATATCATGCTATGTATTTGGAAAATGTTAAAACACTAGGATATATAATTCCTAACTGCCCTTGCTTTTCAGATATTTCTCAAGTCACTCAGAAATTTATACTGGATAATGCTGAATATCTGTGAGTTGGATGAAACTATTTTTTTATGATGATGTTTATTGTACATATCTGATACATTAAAAATATTAAGGGTGATCAAATAAAATTTATTTAAATAGTAACCACATGGAAAATATATATAGTGATAGTAATTTCATTTACATGAGGAAATTGAGCTGTCATATGTAAAATGTGTAATCTACAAGCTTCTTGGATAATTATTTCCTCAAAGTTATTCAGCAAGTGGATGTTTCTATGTGTTTGTTTGTTTTTTTGTTTTGTTTTTTTTTACACAAATAGAACACCTGTAGATTATCACTATGTATTTTGTGGACTGTTGCAGCACCATTATTGCATCTGCTCAATATATTCAGGAAGCCACCTTTGAAGAAGTGGAAATGTTGACAAAAGAGATGCTAGAACTCAAAGATAAGTGCTTTGCTAATGCGACACTTCCAGAATGTACAACCTCAGCTGTAAGTAAATTGCATTTCATACATAGAAAGCTTATCAATACTGATTTTTCTGGATGGAAAAAAATGGAAAAATGTCTATGTATATTTTATTTTTCCAACTCTGCTATGTTAAAATAACATTTTCTGTAGGAAGGATACATAACTGAATTTTGATGTCCAGGAGGACTTGCCAATGTCTTTGCAGCCCATCAGATATAGATCCATGTACAGGAGGCAGCCAGTAACCCAGTAAAGTGCACAGAAGCAAAAGAGCTCTTAGTGCTTCTTTCATTTTGTCTTTTATCCTCATGTTCTCTTTACTCTTGGCCTCATCCATACAAAGTCACCAGCTCGAGCTTGGGAGGTCTAGTCAAGGGCTTCAATAGGAGAAAGATGAGTCATTTCCTCCAGGCTATTTACAAGAGGGACAGTTATGAGTTCCTCTCAACCTCGGCAGTGACTTAGCTTTTAGAAAATTACTATTAACAATCACCAATGGTTTCTCATTGCTGTTGATGGGAACTGACCCATAGCTGACCCTCCAGTGCATTTCTGAGCTTATAAATGTCAGAAGAGAAGGTTGTTCATCTTTCTTCCTTGGAGCCTATGATGGTGAATTAGAACTGCCAGCGAGGTACCATCTTTATGTAAGCAGCACAACTCCCTAAGGCCTACGGCCCTAGACTTTCCTATTATTTAATACGACTAAATAATTGACTAATAAACTAACACACTCTCTTTATCATGTGAAGATATTAGGAGAAAACAGATGTAGATGGCAAAGAAGTAGTAAGAGGTTAAGAATTCTGAGGACAAGACCAAGAAAGGGCTTCCACAACATTGAAAGATTGTCAGGGGTGTGGAAAAATAGTGGTAAAACTGCACTTTAATTATAAATAGTAAAGATTTGTACTATTTGTTCTTCATGTCCACTGTGTTGACTCAGAAGACAGAGAAAAATTAGGGTTTTACAATGTATTACATGTCCTTATCCTTTCTTGTCCAGGGTAACATTTTACAGGACAGTATATGTGCTAAGGAAGACCTGTCACAAAAATATAATTTATCACACTGCTGCAAGGAGATTGACCTAAAGCGAAGACTCTGTTTCCTCTATAATAAGAAAGCTGCTATAGGATTTATCCCACCTCTTCCTACTATGGATGTGGAAGCAAAATGTCAGGCCTATCAACAGAATAGAGATATTTTTATAAACAAGTAAGTTTAATTTTAGTACATAAATTATTTAATTGGAGAACTATTCTAAAACCAATCTTATTCCAAAGGAATGTGGCTGAGTTCATTGATAACATATTTAATATGTATTGTGCCTTGGATTCTGATCTCAGTGTTGAGGACATATAGATGGCCAGAATTACGGACTCTTATTTTCATATAGACCACACATTAATGATGTGTGGGAGAAGGATGAGCAACCTTCTCTCATGAGATTTGTTGTTGTTGCTGTTATGTGCCCCCCAATTTAATCCTTTCCAGGATGAATCTGTTTGTTTTTCTAGCAGTCCATGGTATTCTCAATACTCTTCTCCA